GTATCAGTTGCAACATGTATCATCTGGCTCTTGAAGGATGGCATTCTAGGGTTTGTTCATGATTGCCAGGAACATGTGGTCCTGCAAACCAGATGGTGCATCTCCAAGCATTAACTTCCTCTGATGATTCCTATGTTGAGCTCTCCTTTTGTTAAGCTAAGCCTGCACTCTGGTTTCAGTCACGTTGATGCATCTTGCAAGCCCCTTTCTGGTGGTCACATTAGAGTACTGAGTTAATTGGAAAACACTTTCCAGTTCTGCAACTGCCACTTTGAGAACTTGGATTGGATTGGTGGATGGCTGTGCCAGAGCTGCAGAACCGCAGGCCGCCTGGGCTGTGCCTCACGATATACGACACCTCCCTGGTTCACAGTGCCCTCGTGGCTGAGGTAACCCTCTTGAATCACGTCTTCCATGAGGCCTACAACTCCTTCATGAAAGTGGCTGCTTGCAGCTGCTGCTGCTGCTTCTTCTGTGGCTGCCGCTGGTACACCTTGCTCTGCTTCAGCTGCTTTCTCCATATTGTACATCCCTAGACCATAATACTTGGGATCACAATACTAGTACCAGTGTGACATGGCTGCAATGCATCAGATGCCACACGGCCTCTACTAGCACAGTTTGGCTCCTGGGTGCTTTTTGACACCACTGAATGGCCTACTTAGACAACCTTGAGGTGATACCAGGAGACTTCTTGTTATATGAGAGAATAAATCTTCCATATATTTATTTTTTTATTTTTATGTTTTAGTATTGGGGATTGAACCAACCCAGGGGCACTTTACTATTGAGCTAAATCTCTAGCCTTTTTTATTTTTTATTTTTAGACAGTCTTACTAAGTTGCTGAGGCTGTCCTTAAACTTGCAATCAAACCTCCTACCTCAGCCTCACAAGCTACTGGGATTACAGGCATGCCCCACAGCACCCAGCTCCTCTAACTTAAGCTAATTTGAGCCAGATAAGTTTTGTGACTTGCAATCAAAGGCGTCCTAACTGAAATAGCTACTACCTTCTCTACTTCTACGTGAGGCTAGTGTTAAGAAATATCAGGTTGGGAAGGGCCTGAAGACGTTATCGCCTCATCGGCTTGTATAGATTGAATACACATAGCTTTTTATGTCAATCAGACCTCAATACACTAATTGGAAAAAGTCACTTTGACAATAATTTCAACTCTGTAAGTACAATAGGTCACATTTTAAACCCTTTCTGTGATTTCCTTGGAACTGGTGTCTCAAAGTCACATCTTAAATGGGTCATTGATTGTTTTGTAGAGAGCCATGTCCTCCTCTGTGATCATCTACGGATTCACTGGCCTGACCATTGGTAGCAGCTGTTTCTACCCTCAGGTAGAAGAGGAATGAATGGTAGAAGAAATGTAGAAGAAAGTTTCAGGTTTTTCAACGTATGTCCTATTTGTTTACTGAACAACCCACCCCTTTCTGAAAGATGAGGGGCGGGGCACAGAGCTACAACTCCTAAAATCTTCCCAAGTAGATCACATGGAATATTGCCTCTAAAATCAAAATCATATTTTCCTTGTAATTCCAGGAAGGAGGGGGGAAGTCAGATCTTAAATAGATCCCAAATTAGAAACAGCCCCTCCCACCCCCCAAGCTACACAGCCCAAGTCTTTCTCTTGTGGACTTTCAGACTGGAGCCCTGCCAAAAATGTGAGCAAGAATTTGGCCCATTGTTACTTTAAATATCCTGTGTCGCAGGCCATCTAGGAATGTCTAAGTATGGGAATTTTCCTTCTGAGGTCTGGGATGTAGATATAAATAACTCATTTGTTCGATGCTGTCTCCATCCTGCCTCTCTGAGCTCCAGTGGCCATGAATAAGCCAGCCCGGTAAATAATGGTCACCAGCCCACTCAGTGGCGAGGCCAGTAGAGACGTACCCTAGGAGCATGTTTCCCCGCTCTTTAACCCTAACTTACATGCCAGGCCAGCTGGGGAGCAGCTACTTCCAAGGCCTCCCCAAACTTCTCTTGAAAGGACAGTCTGGAAGATGGTGGTTCAGGCTGACCGGTTCCCATACCTCCACCCCATATTAACAGCGCGATGAGTTCGTATTTCTGTTGTTGTTGGATAAGGAGAACTTGATTCCTGTCCTCCTTCCCACCTCTTCTACCAGAAGGGTCTCCTGGAGCTGGCCTCTGTCACTGGTGACCTGATAGAAATAGTTCGTAGAAGATCTTCTAGGTCAGACTTCGCCAATTGGGATTACAAATAAACCAGATGGCCTGTGAGCGGTGCCTGGACTGAGATCAAGTGATCCCCCACTTTTTTCATCAGGTAGGGCTCAGAGAGGCAGAATGTTCCTGGAGGGTGACTTCATAGGGTGATCTCACAAACTCACCTGCCTGGACATGCTCTCAGCCTGTCCAAGCTCATTTCCACCTTGCTCCGCCTCCTTTGTCGTAAGAAGTCTGTTGGAGTGGTGGACCTGAGATCATCAAGGCCTCCTGAGAGACTCTTTTGTGATTTGTTTATACGAGGATTGAGCCCAGGGGCACTTTACCACTTGAGCTACATCCCCAGCCCTTTTTATTTTTTGTTTGGAAACAGGGTCTCCATAAGTTGCTTAGGGCTTTGTTAAGTTACTGAGGCTGATTTCAAACTTGCAATCCTCCTGCCTTAGCATCCCAACTCACTGGAATCACAAATGTGCACCTCTATGTCTGGCTCATAAGATACTCTTTCTTTCTTTTTTTTTTTAGTTTTTGATAGATCTTTATTTTACTCATTAAGTTATATGCAGTACTGAGAATCGAATCCAAGGCCTCACTCATGTTAGGCAAGCGCTCTACCACTGAGTCACAACCTCAGACCCTCATGAGATACTCTTTATATATGTGAGAACCATGGCCCAGCCTAGAGTTTAAACATCAGAGGATCTGGGTTCAGATCTTGCAGAGCTGCGTGCTCTGTGTGAACACACATCAGAAAGTCTCCCAGAGCCTCTGTGCCTCTATCTGAAAAATAATGACAATAATGATTATCTCAAGACCCACAACTCTAATCCCAGTGGCTTGGGAGGCTGGGACAGGAAGACCCCAGGTTTGAGGCAAATCTCTGCAATTTAGTGAGACCCTGTCTCCAAAGATAAAATAAAAAGGACTAGGGTTATAGCTCATTGCCCCTGGGTTCAATCCCTGGTACCGTATAATAACAATAAGGTTGACTTGTCTCATATGACCTCTTGTTAGGAGTCAGCAAGAGTCTATGTGCATAGCAGTTATCATGAAGTAAGAACTCAGTGAAGGAAAACAGGAGAGAAAGAGAAGGAAAAGGAGAGAAATAGGACAGAGAACTACAGAGCGATGTGGGGCCAGTGCAATGGGCAGAGGCAGATCTCAGAGCTACAGAGACACAGGGAGGAACTGTCTGGGATGATGTGAGAAGCTCCCGAGGGGAAACAGAGGGACAGCATGGCTTCCTCTCCTGGCACAGAGTTGGCAAAGCTCCACCACCTGCATCTTGTCCTGAGGGTTAGGCTGTATGTTTCACCCAGAGCAGCTGTCCTGCCTGCTGATCAAGAGTGATGGAGATTCCATAGCCCCCAAAATGAAAAGTCATGACCTTTTACAGCAAGCAGAGATCCCAACAAGGAGCAAAGGCCATGCCTGGTGACTGGCCTCCTCGGGCTCTGCTACTAATGGCCAGTCAATAACACTGACCAAGGGCCCAAAAAGCACAGTGCAGCCAGAGGACCCTCACAGACAGGCTCATGTTCTCAGGGAAGGAAGCAGCTGAGAAAGAACTGTGTGAGAAATAAATGTTCAGGATAATTTTAGAGAGTGAAAAGGCTACAGAGAAATTACATCAGGTGACAGGATAGGTAATGACGCAGGTGGTGGTCAGTCAGAGGCCCTCTGAGGAAGTGACAGCTGAGCTGAAACCCAGTGAGAAATTCAAGGTGTGAACCTCAGGATAAAGTGGTGGTCTTCCCTCCCAGGTCTCCCAGGACCTGGGCCTTACCTACAGGCACGTACACGCATGCACACACCACAAAAGGTGGGCGTGGCGGTGCACACCTGTAATCCCAGCTACAGGCGTGGGGGCGGGGGTGGGCTGAGGCAGCAGAATCGCAAATTCAAGCCAGTTTCAGCAACAGAGCTCAAAAACAGGAGAGAGAGAGAACTGAGGGTGTAGCTCAGTGGTGCAGCTCCCTAAATCCTCAGCACCTCCCCCCCAAAAAATAATAATATAATTTTAAAAATCTGCAAAAACTGCCCAAACTTGACTGGGATGATCTGCAAACCCCACGCTTTTCTGAACTAAAGCCACGCCTCTCCCTCCATGGCCCTGAAAGGAGCGAGAAGGGGGTCGCAGCGTTGGGAAGCCCTCAGTGGGGAGGGGGCAGCAGACAAATGGTCCAGATAGAGATCTTTCCGAGTGCTGTTTCCCTTCCCAGTGACAGCACCTCAGCAGCTTACTCAGCCTGGCTTCCTCTGAGGACAGGCAAAACTTCACACCCCCAGCCCTGCAGGCTCTGACCCCCCTCCGCCTTCCTGGGGGGGGGGGCCTCTGGGACCATAATCTACAGACACAGACGTGTGCTCTGGGGGGTGGGGGTAGGGGTGGGGTCAAGAGGAGCCTGGGGAAGAGTTCAAGGCAGGAAGCCTCCCCTTGACCCAAGAGCACAAGTGGAGTTGAAACTGCCCTTCTCAGGTCAAAGCTGCAAAACAAAGTTAAAGGTGTAAAAACCAAGTGAGAAGGTCACACAGCTCTGGAACCCAGGGGAGGGTTCGGCCATTGTAACAGCAGCTGCCCTCCGTTAGGAGGAGAGAGTGGCACACAGCATCCCCCCCCCCAGCGGGCTCTCCCTTTCATAAACACGCATTTTTACTTGTTTTAAACAAGCCAAAGTCTCCACTTTCTCTCCCAACCTGCTTTTCCTACAGCTTTTCCTGTCTCCCTGAAGATTTCATTTTCTCAGAAGCTCAGGCCAAAAATCTTGGGCTCATTCCTTGGATTCTCTTTATTTCCTACCTTATATCGGATCCAGCAGATATTCAAATCATTCTGAAGATTTAAAGATGTACATTCAACGACATCCAGAATCTGATCTGTTCTCACCACCTCCACCAAAACAGATCCAGAATCCAGTCAGTTCTCACCTCCCCCAGCCAGCTACCCCCTCTCACCAGGTCTCCCTGCTGCCTCTAGCACCCCTACAGGTCACTCCCTGCACCCGCCAGGGGAATTCACCGGGAAGTTTACCAGTTGGGTGGCCCGGGGCAGGTATCCTCTCCCCTCCGCACTTCATCTGAATCAGAGAGAAATTAATAGCACCTTCCCTTTGTAACTCAGGAGGTTAAAAGAAGTAAGTCATGGCTTTAACGGGAGCCTGGCAGGTAGTCATTCCTTGTTTTATAGTCGTCTGTCCTTTCGCTCTCACCGCGCTGGGTGGCAAATGGCTGCTGAACAGTCATCTCTTCCTATTACATTGGTGCTACTGGAAGGCAGGACCCATCCCCGAACCAGCCAGGTAAGCATTCACTCCCCTGCTCAAATATCCTCCCCCCCAACACCTGTCTTTCTCTTTAAGACAGTTTTTAAGCAAGCACAGCAGCCAGCTGGCCCTGAAATGTAGCAAGACCCTGTCTGAAAATTAAAACAAATACATAAATAAATAAAACGACTGGGATGTAGAGCACCCCTGAGTTCATTTCCCAATTCTGGAAAACAAAAACAAAAAAGCCACTCTCTGAAGTCTTCATTGCAGGCCAGGAGGAGGCTCGGTAGGATCTGTCCCGACAGACACTCCTCTGCCTTCCCTTCTTCTTATTCACTTCCTTCCTGTCCCAGTCCCTCCCTGAGCTCCTCTCATCACTCCAAGCATCTCTATCACAGGACCTTTGTGTTCTTTGCTCTTTGCCTGGATATTTGCTTGGCTCCCTCCCTTCATTAGGGCCATTTAATTGTCACCTCCTCAGAAAGGCCTTATCTAACCTCTCTGTCCAAAATGTTCCCACTGTTCCCAACCCCTTAGCCTCGGGGTGGTGTTTCATTACTGCCTGCTGTTAGGTTACATCTGCACTTAGTTTTTGTTGACTTGTTTATTGCCTGTCTTGGTCACTAGGATGTAAGTTCCATGAGGATGAGGAGTTCATCTTGACTACCACCACGTTCCCAGGGCCCAGAACAGTGCCTAGCTCATGGTAGGTGCTTACTAAAAATGTGTTGAAGGAATGAATGAATTTATCAAGTACTCATACAATTGCATAAGCCTTTTTTTTTCCCTATCACTAAGCTACATCCACAGCCCTTTACATTTTTTATTTTGAGATAAGACCTCACTAAGTTGCCCAGTCTATACTTGAACTTGTAATCCTCCTGCCTTGGTCTCCTGAGAGCTGAGATTATAGATATGTGCCATCACACCTGGCCGTGTAAGGTACTTTGTATATTATATAGACTGTTGTTCAGTCCTCATAATCATATATCATTACTTCTTCTAAATATGACTCATTCTCATTTTTTTTTCCTTTTTGATACCAGGGATTGAACCCAGGGGTGCTCAACCACTGAGCCACATCCCCAGCCCATTTTTGAATTTTATTTTTAGACAGGGTCTTGCTTAGTTGCTTGGGGCCTCACAAAATTGCTGAGGCTGGCTTTGAACTCGCAATCCTCCTGCCTCAGTTTCCTAAGCCGCTGAGATTACAGGCATGCACCACTGCACCTGGCATGACTCCCATTTTAAAGAAACCAGGACAATCTCTGAACCTTCCATAGCAGAGGAAACGTTCCCCTCGATCTTTGCCTGGAAACTCCTACTCCCTGCTTCCTCCTACTTGGTCTACTGTACTTTCCAGGTCCACTCGGACATCTTGTCCACCTTACAGCCTCTGCTGCTGGAGGCTGGTCAGGTGTCCCTCTCTCTGCCTGACTCATCCTACCATTAAGATCTGAGTGCTCAGGAGAAGTCTCTTCACCTTACCACACTTCAGGCTCTGCCTCTAAAAGGAGAGAGAAATTATTATAATAATTCCAGCCTCCTGAGCCTAGTGTGGGGAGTAAATGAAAAAAAGAGAAGCAATGATCTTCGAAGGTGTCTGGCATGAAGTTAAGTACTGGAGTTAGGATGTGTGTGTAAGTGTTGACCACACGGTGTTGTAACTGATGACCTTGAGTTCAAGTCCCTTTACGTCTCCTTTACTATGGTTTGAATGCTTGTGACCCCTCCAAAATTTGTGTTGACACTTAATTCCGATGCAACAACATTTAGAGCCTTTAGGAGGTAGTGAGGGCAGGAGGGCTCCCCTTGGGAATGGGATGAAAGACTACAAAGAGGCATCTGGCAGCACTGGGTCCTTTTTACCCGTCCTTCTACCACGTGAGATCACAGAATCTGTCTCCTCCAGAGGACGCAGTATACCATCTTGGGAGAAGAGACAGGGTCCTCACCAGACACAGAGCTGCTGGTGACTTGGTCCTGGATTTTCCAGCGTCTAGAGCTGCGAGATACTTTTCTATTATTTATCAATGACCCTCTCAGACATACTGTCACAGCAGCACAAAAGGACAAAAAATATCCATTTACCAAGTGAACATTACAGAAGGTAGGACCATATCTAGCACCTACAAGCACATGGCACCCTGTAGTCTGACAATCACTGTTTGCTAAGTCAGCAGGAGTAGCAGTGAGGGCTTCCATTTCTGTGTGTTCTTTTTATGTGCCAGGCCAGGTGCCAAACACTTGAGTGGATTTGCTCATCTAAGCCTCATGGCAAACCCAGGAGGTGCTGTTATTTTTTACCATTTTATGGACAAGGAAACTGAGTCTTTCAAAGTTGAAACAAATTGCCACCCAAAGAGTGAGTGGGGAAGCTAGTATTCAAACTAAACGGAAGGAAGGAAGGAAAGAAACAAATCAACTTGACCTTAGCCAACCCAAGGCTCAAGGGGATTAGCGCACACTTGTGTGTAAAAGGGCAGGAGAGAGCTAATAAACTTGCAAATCTCCCACCCAAATCCCTCACCTCCCTCCGGCTCCAGCCTAAATAATACAATGGCAGCTAATTGTTTCCTGGTGCCTGATGTTATCTCTCTGGCAATCAAGCACCCCTTGGGGTGGGGGTGCAGATCTCACCCATTGTTCACTTCTGGGTGAGGGGGTAGGGAAAAGAGCCCCCTGGGTTTCCTTGCATCTCCACTTCCCCTTACAACGAATTCCTGCAGAGGAATGTCCATTCCAAATCACCTGATGAATAAATCATCCAGCCCCGAGGAGGAGCGTGGCCCAGACTGCTGCAATGATTCTGTTTCAAAATCAGGAGAGAGAGAGAAAATTCCATCTCTGAACACCACACTGGGGGAAGTTTCCACTTGCCCTGAGTTTCAACCCCCTTCAGGGACTGTCAGCAACATGTGGCCCAGTGTTGCCAGCATCCAGTACACAGGGTGGCTTGGGCTTGTCCAGGGCTGGAAACAAACCCTCCCGTCTGTCTGGTCTTTGCAAGGCAGTCCCTCTAGCCTGGGAAATGGGTGCAGAGAAAAGCACAATCGGTGAACTGTTCGAAAGCCTCCGTGGGCCAACCTGGCCAAGGTAGCAAGCAGGGGGCAGGCCAGAGAACAAGGATTTCAGGGATGACCTTGAGTTCAAGTCCCTTCGGAGTCATCTGCTCAGTGGGTAACCTCAGGCCAGTCACTTGTCCTTTCTTCATTTCAGATTCCTCATCTTTAAAAAGGGAATTATCATTCTTATTTTACATGATTGGTGCTGCCATTAAGAGTAAATGGTGCCAGGCGTGGTGGCACACACTTGTAATCCCATCAGTTCAGAAGGCTGAAGCAGGAGGATCGCAAGTTCAAAGCCAGCCTCAGAAACAGCAAGGCTTAGTGGGATGTGATTTAGTGCCCCTGAGTTCAATCCCTAGTGCTAAAAAAAAAAAAAAAAAGTAAATGTGCTGAGATGTGGGCAGGTGCCTAGGATCCTAGCACCTCCAGAGTGGAGGCAGGAAGGAGAATCACACACTCAGGCCAGCCTCAGCAACTTTTTTTTCTTTCTTCTTGGGGCTGGTGGGGGCAGGGGATACTGGGGATTGAACTCAGGGGAACTTGACACTGAGCCACATCCCCAGCCCTATTTTGTATTTTATTTAGAGAGAAGGTCTCACTGAGTTGCTTAGTACAGCTCCAAGCTTGTCATTTGCTTTGTGCAAAAAGCCAAGATGAAGCTGGATGCCATGTTGCTTTTGCCGAGGCTGCCTTTGAACTCGTGATCCTCCTATCTCAGCCTCCTGAGCCACTGGGATTACAGACATGCGCCACTGTGCCCTGCTAGCCTCAGCAACTTTGTAAGACCCTGTCTCAAAATAAAAATAAAAAGGACTAGGAATGTAGCTCAGTATTGAAGTGCTCCTGGGTTCAATTCCCTGTACCAAAAAGAAAAAGAGAGAGTAAATGGCAAGGGCAGAGTTCAAAGTAGTTCCATTCTCTGGAGGGAGAGCAGCAAATAGTTACACAAACAATGGAATCCCTATGTCATACAGACCTGCTCTTGAATCACTATTACCAGACCTTGCGGCTGTGACTTCCCTATTATAATTCTCCATCACATTCTTAGGAGCAGGAATTGACTTTCAAAACCCTTTGAGAGTCATACCTCATTTTTGTTGTTGTTGTTGTTGTTGTTTTGGTTACTGGGGATTGAACTCAGGGGCACTTAACCACTGAGCCACATCCCCAGCCCTATTGTGTATTTTATTTAGAGACAGGGTCTCACTGAGTTGCTTAGCTCCTGGATGTTGCTGAGACTGGCTTTGAACTCACAATCCTCCTGCCTCAGCCTCCTGAGCTGCTGGGATTGCAGGCTTGTGCCACCACAATCAGCCAGAGCTCAGTTTTGAACACGTGGCCTGGATGGTGCTCCAGGCTCCTCTTCAAAGCTGAGTGCATCCAATTAATATTTATTGAGCACCAACTATATGTCAGATGCAGGAGGTGGAGGAACAAGACAGGAGCAGAACCTGCCCTCCAGAAGCTTTGCCTTCTGGTTTGGGAAACAAGACCCGTGCATGGCGGGAAAGCCAAACCTGACGTCCCAACACCAGTTACACAGGAGAGCCCCTTGATGACACAGTTTCACGAGCTCTTTATTTGGAGGTGGCATGAAGTGAATATGATGCTTGTTGAAATG